ACAACCTACAGACTGGGAAAAAATTTTTCGCTATGACAAATCTGATCAGCATCTAATCTCTAAAATCTACAAGATACTGCAAAACCTCAACAACAAAAAGACAAATAACCAATTAAAAAATGTTCAAAGGATATGAACAGGCACTTCGCCAAAGAAGATATTCAGGCGGCTAATAGACACATGAAGAAATGCTCACGATCATTAGCCATTAGAGAAATGTAGATCAAAACTATAGTGAGATATCATCTCACCCTAACAAGGCTAGCATTAATCCAAAAAACACAAAACAATAAATGCTGGAAAGGTTGTGAAGAGACTGGAACACTTACACACTGTTGGTGGGAATATAAAATGGTTCAACCACTTTGGAAATTGATTTGGCGCTTCCTTAAAAAGCTAGAAATAGAAGTACCGTACGATCCAGCTATCCTACTCTTTGGAATATATCCTAGAGAAGTAAGAGCCATCACACAAATAGATATATGCACACGCATGTTCACTGCAGCACTGTTCACAATAGCAAAAAGATGGAAACAACCTATGTGCTCATCAACGGACGAATGGATAAACAAATTATGGTATATCCACACAATGGAATACTATGCAAAGATAACGATGAAGCTGTGAAACATCTTATAACATGGAGGAAGCTGGAACTCATTATGCTGAGTGAATTTAGTCAGTCACAGAAGGACAAATATTGTATAAGACCACTATGATAACTCAAGAAATGATTTAAACACAAGAAAACATTCTTTGATGGTTACGAGGGTGGGGAGGGAGGAGGAGGGTTATTTACTAACTAGATAGTAGATGAGAATTATCTTAGGTGAAAGGAAGGACAGCAATCACTATAGGGGAAGTCAGCACAACTAGATTAAACCAAAGCTAAGAAGTTTCCTGAATACAATCAAACACTTTGAGGGACAGAGTAGCAGGGATAGGGGTCTGAGGACCACGCTTTCAGGGGACATCTAGGTCAATTGGCTTAACAAAGCTTATTAAGAAAATGTTCTGCATCCTACTTCGGTGAATGGCGTTGGGGTCCTAAAAGCTTGCAAGCAGCCATCTAAGATGCATCAGTTGGTTCCAACCATCTGGAATAAAGGGGAATGAAGAACACCAAAGACACAAGGAAAGC